CAGGATAATAAAAACCCAACTTAACAATATTCCCATGAATCTCTTGGTTTCGTGCCTTTTGAATGTGTATGTCAATTAATATAATATGAAGAAAAATTCAAGTTACCCCATACTTTCTAGAGAAAGAGAACAGTTTTGCCAAAACATCAGGTATAAATTTTAAATCAAAAATCAAAACAATCAAGCAATCAACAACCAAGAGTACCAAAAAAAAAAAAAAAACAATCAACAAAGGGAAGAGAATAAGATCATTATAGTGAAACAATCTACAAGTCTTTCTATTAGCTTTTGTGCAGATTTCAAAGTGGTAGGCTCGTCAATGTTCAACGTCTTTAAAAGAGAAAAGTAATCTGGCATAGGATGTAGAAGAGTTTGTATTTTTTTTAAACTTAATTTGAAGAGTTGTGGGGTGTGTGTATAGATATATTAGGGTTAAGTATTAAGTTAGATGACCTTTTTTGTCTTTTTAGACAATAATAAAACTTACAGCTTAATGATTTAAATATTGGGGTGAACTAAGAGAAGTGTGGGGTTTAAATAGAAAAAATCATCATAGAGTCATAGCTTGCAAGATGAATTGCTAAAACAGATCAACTGAGATATAATCCGTACCCTTTCATATGCCATTAAATCTCTTTTTATTCACTAAAAATGAAGTGAATGTCATTGGTTAGGAAGAGTGTTTGGGTGTAATCCGAATTACTCACGTGTTAATAAGCGTGAAAAAAGTGTTTGGGTGTAATCCTAATTACTCATGATAATACCGAAAATTTTATTGATGCTATTAGATCCCCAAAAAAAAAAATTATTTTTTTATTTTTATAAATTGTAAAATTTTTAAAAGTAGAAAAGCAGTTGGGCTGGACTTCCATGAAGCAAGGAGTTAGATTTGGGCCCTTATATGATACATCTAAATCTGAAAGCCCGTACATGCTTTTATGTGCCCATAAAAGAAAATCTCCTTCTCGCTGTCTCTCTCTCTCTGCCGATAACCCCCCTTTCCTTCTACTCCTCTAGGACCTCTGCTCCACCCTTATCCTCACCCCCCTTCTCTAAAACCCTTCACTCCTCCATCTTCTCCGCTCAACACAGAAAATGGCTTCTGCAACCTCAAATTTGTTCAAGACCTTGTCAATAGCAGACTCATGTCTAGTCTCTTTACCCTACCTCTCCTCCACCAAAACCGCCAACTCGTTTCTCTCAGTCCCATCCAAACCCATTAAACTCCACCTCACGTACACTCATGCTTCACTCTTTTCACCACCTCTGTCCCTCAAGAACAAAACCCAGTTCTCATCCATAGTCTCTTTTGTGGCCCAGACCTCAGACTGGGCTCAGCAAGAAGAAGACAGCACACTTACCATTGACCAAGACGAAGGAGCAGAGAGTGGTGAAGAAGGGGTCTTTGCAGAGAGGGAAGAGGAGGCGAATATTGAGCCACCTGAGGAAGCCAAGGTATTTGTTGGAAATTTGCCTTATGATGTTGATAGTCAGAAATTGGCTGAGCTCTTTGAGAGGGCTGGAGTTGTGGAGATTGCAGAGGTGAGTTTTAATTTCTTTGTTTCATAAAGTTTGTGTATTTGGGTTTCGATGTTGGTGTGAAATTTGTGAGGTTTAGATATGTGGGTGAAATTTTTTATTTCTCTTTTGTTGTTGTAGGTCATTTACAACAGGGATACTGAGCAGAGTCGGGGATTTGGATTTGTGACTATGAGTACTGTTGAAGAAGCTGATAAGGCTGTGGAACTGTTCAGTCGTTATGTAAGTTGTTTCTAAATTTCGTTTCTTTAAGTGGTTTGTTTTTATTGCTCTTTTGGTGATTTTGATTTCGGTAAATTTATGGCATGCATACAAGATGGAATAAACTCAATATGAGTAATTACAATATTTTGAAAGATTAAGAAAATTAGGATAAATTATGTGAATTGATGGCTGAACAGCATGGGCTATGTTTGTGGAGGGTAACCGATAATACATTGTATTAGGGTGCTGGTGGTTTAACTCGAAAGTTGAGTGTAGCCATGAGCAATTGGTTCTATATTCATATATCTAGTATGGGTTGTGGTAACCTTGAAGTTAGTTCGCAGAATTAGTATAGAACTTTTGATTATAGGAAAATGTGTCCTGAGAAGTGCTCAATAGGTTCTTGGAATGGCCCTGAGATTTAGTATAGAGCTTCTGATTATAGGAGAATGTGTCGTGAGAAGTGCTCAGTAGGTTCTTGGAATGTCTTTTGCAGTAAAGCATAATGCCCATAGGTAATGTCCTTCGCTTATTCAACTTCTGGTGCATACGAATAGAGTATTATTTAAGTGTACCGCACGCAATGTTCCATACTATTTTTCATTTTTATAAAAGCATTTGATGTCATATTTTAAGGATTGTGTTGATTGCTTCTAAGTTTTTTGTGTTTACTGTGGCGATAGGATTTAAATGGAAGGCTCTTGACTGTCAATAGGGCTGCTCCAAGAGGAACGCGCCAAGAACGCGCACCCCGTTCATTTGAACCTTCTTTTAGAATCTATGTTGGTAACCTTCCATGGAATGTGGATAATGGTCAACTGGAGCAGGTCTTCAGTGAGCATGGTAGTGTGGTGGAGGCACGAGTAGTCTTTGACAGAGAAACTGGACGATCGCGTGGTTTTGGCTTTGTAACAATGGCCAGTGAAAACGAAATGAATGATGCCATTGCTGCTCTAGATGGACAGGTATTAAGCGTCTACATTTTCAACCTTGATGATTCATTAGGAAAAGGGGATCCATCATTCGTGTAATGATGGACCAAATTCTTAGGTTGAATTGACATGCTTTAAATTAATTATGCTTGATATGGTTTGTCTGATTTTGCCTAATGGACTTGATTGATAAAGGGGTGAAAAACATAGTTGATGGAAATGTTGTATGGATTCATCGGTGCATCTTGGATACGATATAAACTATCTTACTTGAGTTGTCTTGTGCTGCAGAGTCTGGATGGAAGGGCGATCAGAGTAAATGTTGCGGAAGAAAGACAAAGGCGCAGCCCCTACTGACTTAACAGGGATGAAACCTAAGTTCTGGTTTTGGTTCCTTTTCCTTTAGATGAGATTGTGTCAGCTGTTTTTCAGCGAGGGTTTTATGATTTCTACTTTACAAGTGTTGTTCTAGTGGGAAACGATATATAGCGTCCAAGTTTGACTCCATTAATTTTGGGGCACTACTGATGTGGTTGCTATTTTATTTTGATCAGCTAATGGAGCATTTGAACGTCATTATAATGAAATAGTTTCATTGTATTTTATGTCAGTGGATGTAAAGCCTTGTACTTTTAGATTCTCTTTTGTAGCATGAAAATCAGAACCAACATTTCAGGTATAGCAGAAACTACATGCCTTATATTTAAGTCATTTAGCCACAAACAGGCAACAGGTTTGAACACCCTTGAGATCAAGGGAATTTACAGTGGCAAGGGAACAAGCTATACCAAAGCAAACCATTACTGCGAAGAGAAACCAGAAAATCATCTATGCACAAATAGTGAGCCAGTAGCAGGCCTCAAGAGCCTCGCAACTGAGCATCTTTGCTTGTGAGAGGAACATAACGAACTGAAGTTTCTGTCCGGACACTGATAGAGCCATCCAAGTTCTTGTCCACAACCTTCAAATCCTGGAATATGTTTCCCACTGGAATCACCATTCTGCCTCCGGGCTTCAACTGGTCAATAAGTGGTTGTGGGATTTCTGGTGCAGCTGCACCAACATGAATGGCATCATAAGGTGCAAATTCTGGCCAACCTAGCCTTCCATCTGCAACAATAATTTATCAAATCAATAAAACGAGTAATTAGCATTTGGCAGTAGTAAAATCGTGTCTTAAGCTGATGCATTTATTTTTTATAGAAAAAGACCGGTATCGTGGGTGGAAATACTTGAGCATATACTTCAGGTGAATGGCAGCAAAACTTTGGCAACCAGTGTATGGAGCTCAAATATGTTTAGTAAAAGTGTTATAGGCCTTGACTGGCAATTCCTTGAATCATATTGGATGAAAAACTGGTGTTTTGTTGCTGGTGCGCAACCTAAGCTGAGTGAGTTTTCATAACAAACTGACAAGATGCAGATACGCTAGAATCAAGGCATGATAAGTATGATTCCTCTCAGCACCCAAAAAGGACTAAGCTATTTCACTCCAACAAAAAAGAAATTATCAGAGGAAGTCCTAGAATATAGATTTCATGAACAGAACATGATTAAAGAAAGAAGAAGTCCAGAGAGACAGGGAAATTGAATGTGAGGAGAACACCAACGGTTTTTCATCTCCGAAACATTACAGGAAAGAATAATTCTACAAGCTTTCAAACATTTCAAATATCTTCCCAACTTTCCTTGAAGCCCAACAAGAATTGAATCCATTTTATGAATTTCTAAAACAACAACCCTCAACTCATATCATGGAACCAGCCCGCATGGGTACACACCATATTCATGCAAGTAATTTCTAAAACTAATCAGGGTGGTATACACTCTTTTCATTTAGCTTCAATAGAAAAATGATTTTCTTTTTCTTAGTTTCAATTTCAAAAGTGTAACCCTGGGTTTCAGGAAACATACCACCGACATGCACTGAGAGGGAACCTTCTTTCAATAACGGTGCTGCTGCACTTTTTTTAATATTCTCGATTGAGGAAGAAACCAACTCAGGAATGTGCTCTACACCAACTGCACGGCCTTGTGGCCCAACCATCAAGGCAAAACAAGCTGTCAAATATCCTGTCCCTGCAAAGCAAAATACAGTAAAGGAAATTCAGGATCTCTAGTACTGCCTTCAAGATGCAGCACAGCTAGTGCAAAGAATTCAGGTTTCCATAGATTCAAATGGTCAAATGTGAGTGACATTTCACTTCCAAGAATGTGCTAACTATAAAGACATAAACACATGATATTAACATGTTATAATAAAAATTCCATAGATAAGCACCTGAACCAACATCCAAAGCACGCATATTAGGCTGCAAATTCTCTTCCAACAACTGAAGGCATGTTGCATGCATATGAGGTGCAGAAATGGTGGCATTATAACCTATTGCCATGGGGGAGTCAACATAAGGTGGGGTCCCATCAGGCACAAATAAAGCTCTATCAATAGTCCCCATCACTTCAACAACCTTTTTGGAGCTAATCACTCCATAACTCTGCAAATTCTCCACCATTGCCTTGTTCTTCTTAACGCTACTATGGGACCAGAATTGCTGTAAATGATAGAAAATAATTACGAAAAACAAAGCTGTTCAACACTAACATATAACAGTAAAGCCCAAATTAAATTAAGCAACAAAGTAATTTAAATGATACACAAACAAGCAGAACCCCTATTGGAATTTTGGCCATGAATGATCACAACCATCATTAATACCTTGTCTGGTTGCAAATCCAAATCCTCGACACTAGGATCAGTTATGGGTTGAATTGGTCCATCCAAGGCCCTCGGACAACAATACAATTGAATACCACCATTAACCAGGGTAGAATGAACCCCGATTAAAATGAAGACTAAAATTACTACAAATCCCTACTATTAGGGAACATAACCACATGAATCAGATCCTAGCATAATTAGCAATCACTAAAGTATATCATTACCAAAAGCAAATTACCTTAAGCTCCAATGGGTTGATAAGCAAGTTGAAGTAACAGATTAATGAGACAAAAGATTAAATTTTTACATAGTTATCTATCTATAAGCTGAAAAAACAGATGCTCTGTTTGGATATAAGGAGAGAGAAAGAGAAATACCTCCATTCCGCGGAAGAGGGAGTTACCCGTGAGGAAATTAGGGTTTTGGAGGAGAGGACAGAAGGAGAGAGAGGTGGCGGGGAGAAGTGTGAGTGTGCGAGGACGAGGGCGATGACTATGGCGATGATGATGATGAGAGTGAGGAAAGAAAGAGAGAGTGGTAAAGGTTAAGAGGTGTTGCACAGTGGGCGCTGGATAGCGGGAATCATACGCTAAGCGGCCTAGGCCTACTACAGCACTTGTTGCTCTCGCTGGGGAGAGTAGCTTACGCATTTGCCACGCTTTCTCTACACCTTTCTCCAATTTTCCATTTTTCACTGCTTCACTTTACACTTGTCTTTGCCCTGCCCTTGCTTCCTACTCCCTCACCCGCCGACTCAAGCGTACCCCACACATTTGGGTCAAGCTAGTTGGGCCATTTTGTCCTTTTGTTTTGGGGCTGCACTTGTTAAAGCCCAAGATGTTGATAGGATTTCCCGGTCTAAAGTTTGACAGACAGTCCAAGAAAAAGTTTGATGCAATTACAAACCCGGGTTCGAATCTGGTGAAGCCCAAACCCGTTTGAAATCTCGTTTCCTTCGGTTCGGACATCGGAACTCAAGGTTTTTTGAAACGAGCTCAATTCGAAGGCTAGTTTTAAGCTTAAAACTTACCCGAAAGAACGAGATGTTAGGATCAATGCCTAACTGAACAAAGGTTAAGCCAAAAAGTCATACCAATACCCCCACGGTCAAGTATGGGCGGAAAGGCTATAATGAGGGCTTAAAGTGAGGAGGTTATTTGAGGAGGTCAAATCTCACCATCAACAAATGTAAAGAAATCATGGGACTTAAATATTTTAAATGTTTTGACGGTCGGATCGATCTCCTCAAATAACCTCCTCACTTTAACTCCTCATTGTAGAAGCTCCCCAGGTATGAGTAGGTCTCTTTTCTTTTAGGTCATGCTTGACTCGACTTGACCTAAGAGAAATTTTGAGCATGGGCCAGCCCAATAAAACTTGTTTTACATTGTCCCCTGTTGCAAGCCGAGCCTGCCTCATTTGGTTCTTGGGCCAAAGAGGGAGCTGAGGCTTTTGCTTTCTGTTTACCACCAAGATTAGCACAGTAATTCTCTTTTCTCTCATCCATTTTGTTCCCTCGCATGTTAATTATACAAAACTCAAGGACCAGTTTTAGCTTCTTAATTTTCGATCAATAAAGAGTCTTAGCTTCTTAATTACTAGTCTAGGTGAAGCAAGCATTGCTGACGAAAGCATTTAGATGGCTTAAGTATCACAAGCACATCAACTGAGTGATGTCCCTTTCTTTTCCCCTTTTGTCGAGAGTTGTCTCTTCACATAATTCCTTTCTTCAAGGAAATACATATCAGTGTGGGGTTGAAGCTCAGAATTTACTGTTTTTTTTTTTTTTTGGTCGAAGAATTTACTGTTTATGACTTGATAAAAAAAAGGTTCATATGATTCACGCACCAGTACAAAAGTATGCAGAAAATAATGAGACATGATCCTACAAGGATTTAGTTTCTCTCAAGGACTTGATCTTTCCTAGAATAGGAAATCCTTTTACAAAAGACTGCTAATGGGAGCAGATTTTCCTGCCTATGTATATCTTTGTATGTGTACAATTTCCAAAAGAGAGGAAAGAAAAAGGGGGAAAAGAGTAAAGAAGTTACACATAAATGATTAAAGAATGCCTACTGCCTAGTACTGGGGTTTGGATGCTTGGCAAAATTTTGATTTCCCAACCATTAAATTCTTGTTTATGGTTGTTGGTTGGGAATCAATGTCCTAAAAGATCTGGATTATGATAATCTGAATGATTAAAATTTACTAAAATGACTGAATTATACACGTTGGCATGGCCTCCACTATGTACAAGAAATTTTTTGAGCTTTGGAGTCCAAGCTATATATGCTTGTGTTTTAAACATATCAACAGTTGATAATCGTCCACACCCTGTACGTGTGAAATTAGTTTTTTCCTTCATTGGAGTGTTTGATAGATTCGTCTATTAGCTCTATTAATTTCCAAATATTTCTTATGTATTTACTGAAAACCCCAAATCCAAGATGATGCTGCAGACTCATACCTTAGGGCCACCACAACTGTGTAACGAACCTTATGTTCTTATCCAGTGTATGTCTGGCTTTAACTTTAATTAGACTCACCTTGCAAGCAAGGTACTTGTTCATAAGGCTTTAACTTTTATTCCATTCTTCTTGCTATTATATAAGGCATAGCTTCTGAAACTGTAAAACCACTCAAACCTATCATTTTCTCACTCTCTTAGGCATTTGAAGTTCCAAGATATGGCAAGCCAACAGCTGGTAGCTCCTAAGCTGAAAAATGTGAATATGAGGGATAGAAGAACATCCCCCCAATCTGATGATAGTGCATTGGTGAGGCAAATTCGGGAGACTCATTCTCCGGGACAATCCCACAGCGTCGATGTCAATCAAATTCTCCAAGTCATTGAGGAAATATTTCATCGTGCTACTCACAGCACTGCTGGCGTTCTAGTTGTATTTCCTTATCCCATTTGCTTTTGTTATACAATTTTGAAATTAAAAAGAACACTTTGTAACAGTTCTGTTTATTTTGGTCACCAATTGCTTTACTTGCTGTGTAGGGTACACGAGAACTTGCAGATACGGTGGAGGACAGGACCACTTTGCCTAGTGTTGATGTCTTGTTCCACGGATTGTCTTATCTCATACAAAAGATCTATTGCGAGGTAGAATCTTTTTTGCTAAAGCTAAATGCTTTTACTCAAAGAAAAACATATACATTTCCGTTTCTTTTATAAAAGCAAATGGTATGGCACTTCTCCTATACTGTTTCTGCATATGGGATGGATATATAGGAACATGTATGCTACAAATAGAAGTTTCGAATCCGTCTCTTTTATTCAAATTAATCCTAGAAACCATAATTTAATGTCTGAGGACTATGCATGTAGGTCTCCTCTTTTCTATTACATCCTTTCTATGCAAAATACAAATTAGCAATTGAGCAGAGTGTGTCCATGTAACGGCAGATAAGTTGCCAATGCTCAGGAGGCGGCGATGTTCACGCGACCACAATGGAGTTACTCAGGACCCTTTCAAACTATACATGGGAAGCAAAAGTGGTGCTGACCCTGGCTGCTTTTGCTGTGTACTACGGAGAATTCTGGCTTGTGGCTCAGCTTTGCACTACCGATCCATTAGCCAAGTCCGTGGCCATCCTGAAGCAACTGTCGGACATGGTAGAGCATGCCGCCTCAGTCAAGCCTCAAATTGAGGCAATTGACAACCTCATCAAGGCCGTTACCAAGGTTACCAAGAGCATTGTGGAGTACAGTGAGATGGTCAAGCTGCAGTCTCACTACATTTCAGAAGACACACCTCCACTGTCAATTGCCCTGGCACATATTCCTGCTGCTGCCTATTGGGTCATTAGAGGCATCCTGGCTAGTGCCTCCCATATTGCCATCCTCGCAGGCAGCAGACATGAGTAAGCCATTGGAAACCACAATGCATCAAATTCATTTCAAACTATACCTAAGCTAATAGCAGCTCCTTTTTTCTACTCATTTTAGGTACATTGCATCAACCACAGAGGTTTGGGAACTCTCAAGCTTGGCTCATAAGCTGAACAACATACATGAACACCTCACCAGTGAACTTGAGAATTGCCGTCGATATATTGGTAAGCTCTTGGATTTGCAAACTTTAGAACTGTGGACATGTACCTCTTAAACCAAGTCTAAAAATGATGAAAGTTTAACTTAGAAGTTAAACATATCTCTTGGCTGGTTTTTCTTTCAACTTTCACCTTAAATTTAATGAAGTACTGAACAAAATTCACCATATGGGATCCAGTGGCAAAGAGATATGATGAAGATTATGAGACGCTGAAACGCCTCTTCCAGGGACTCCACCTGGACAACCTGAAGAACTTAAGGGCACTGATTTCCCACAAGGATGATGCACAACCACTCCAAATTGGTACAACCAGGGTACTGTCTGCTTAAATCTTGTACCTTGCATTTCCCGGGTTTCGTATTCCTAATGAGCCATAAAACTGAATCATTTTATATGTTTCCATTGCCACAAGCAGTACAGTCTTGAAGTGTTGAGGAGAAGGCATGTGTTGCTGTTGATAACGGATCTTAGTCTGAGCAATGAAGAGATTGTGATTCTTGATCACATCTACAAACAACAGCAGAACAGGGCAGAAGTTGAGTATGAGATTGTTTGGCTCCCCGTTGTGGACGCAACCCCTTGGGATGAAGCAAAACGGTTTAGATTTGAGGAGCTAAAGTCAAAGATGCCGTGGTACTCAGTGCACGACCCTCTAATAATTGAGCCACCGGTGATCAAGTTCATCAGAAACGATTGGCATTTCGACAAGAAGATGATTATAGTGTCCTTGGATCCACAAGGAAGGGTGTCCTCCCTGAATGCTGTCCACATGCTGTGGGTATGGGGCAATGTGGCTTTCCCTTTCACTGATGAGAAAGAGCAGGTACTGTGGAATGCAGAGAGCTGGAGACTCCAGCTCGTTGCCGATGGCATTGATCCAATCATACTGGACTGGGTAAGTGCTAGAAACTTCGGCATAATATGTTGACAGACTGTGAATCTGAACCGTACATTACATTCAATCGAGAGTACTTAAGTTAGATAACATTTTCGTACATTCATATGTATCCATTTATTAAGTCAAAATTCATGAAGAACTAAAGATAATGTCGGAACTTTTTTGCTTTATCAGATAGAGAAAGGGAAATATATATGCTTGTATGGAGGTGATGATTTGGAATGGATTCGGAAGTTCACGGTGAGAGCAAAAGTTGTTGCAGGACTTGCTGGTATCTCCTTGGAACTGCTTTATGTAGGAAGAAGTACAGCAACCAGGGAGCAGATCAGGAAAGTGAACAAAGTCATTAAAACAGAGAACCTCAGCCGGTTCTGGCCTGATTACACATCCAATTGGTTCTTTTGGTCCCGAATGGATAGCATGCGGTGCTCCAAGGCGAAACACCACAAGACTGTAGAGAATGATGAGATACTGAAGGAGGTCATGACTTTGCTGAGCTATGATGGAAGTGACCAAGGATGGGTTATGGTGTGGAGAGGCTCAAATGAGACGGCCAGAGCCAATGGACAGCTCACTCTGCACACCTTGGATGAATTTGAAGCCTGGAAAAATAAAGCTGCTGAATCAGGCTTCGTGCCTACACTCAGTGATGAACTGAAGCAGCGCCACAAACCGCAGCACTGCACCCGTTTGATCATTCCAGGGTTCGGTCCAGACATCCCGGACAGAGTGGAGTGCGCAGAGTGTGGCAATGAGATGGAGAAGTTCTTCATGTTCCGCTGCTGTACCGATTGAGACATGTTGAGTCAAGCATGAAAAATCCATATTGGATCTTATGTTATATTAATTATGGTGCTCTTTCTTGAGAGAGCTAAATGCTTTAGTATGCATTAAGAATAAGTTTGTTTGTGTGAACTTGTGAAATGGCTAGGACTCTAAGCGCCAGTTTGGGCTGTTGAGTCGGGGGCTAATTCGGCTGATATATATAAGCTTATAAGAATGTAAAAATAATAGTACTTGAAAGACTTTTCAGTACTAAAATTACTATCACAATCTCTCTCTCTCTCTTCACTTTTCTACATTGTGTTGGTTTTTTTGTTAACCAGAAAAAAAAAAAAAACAAAGTACACTATCCTCAACCCCAAAACAATAGGGCAGGAGAGAGAGTTACATGTCATGGATAAAATTAATTTTTGTCCCTAGAATGCCTAGAATGAAATTCGCCATCAGCACCAACAATAGTCATACCATGCCATTGTGCTTATGCAGTAGACTATTTAATTACGGTTCTGCAAGCTTTGACTTTGATATATAACTGACCAGATCTTCCTTCATACATCTTGTAACTTAAATTATTTCTATTAAAAAAAAATACTCACGAGTTTGTGTTTTGATTTATTTATGTTAAGGGCTCATTAAGTTCATGTTTAGGACAGCAGAGCGAAATCTCGCTATAAAGATTTGTTCATGATGCCATAATATTGCGTAGATCAAAGTCTAGCAGTTTGACTTTGATCGATGTTTTGGCAATAACTAAGAGGACTTTTGCAATTTTACATCCTACTCGACATTTTAGTTCCACAGGTAAAGTTTTATATATGAAGTAAATTGACTTCCCAATTTCTCTATTGATCATGGTTGATTATTTTAGGTTTTAACTCTCGTATTACCGCCTGGAACGTAAGAGTTAAATCTAAAATCTTAGCGAGCAACGATTATGGATGAATGGAAAAGAGGAAAAGAAAATAGCTTTCAGGTATATTAATCAACATTTTTCATAAAAAAATCAGATTTAACAATTGGCTTAATAATCTTTGTTATTTTTGGCTTAATAATCATCTATACTCACGACCGGTTGCTTGCTTTTATTTTGAAAAACCTCCCACAATAATGAAGTTTCTAAATTTTCTTATTGGGTTGCAATATGTGCCACGTGTTGGTGTAGGTGACTCAATACAAGTCATGATGTGTAAGTCCCATATTGGAAAATACCACAAATAATCTACATTTCAAACATAGGTGGTCTATTCCTAATTGCACCGAGGCATTTTGTGATAGAATCCAACACCTAGAAGTCCATTAGGCCTTCTCTATTCTAGGTGGTTAAGGTGGTAAACAATATCGATACATAATTTGAACATGTTACTAACTTCTGTTTAGCCCAATGGTAAGTCAGGCACATGGGTCAAAAAAAATTAATTTCTATTTTTTATTGGGTAGGGAGGATTGAAGTTTCATATCAGAAGCCAAAAAAAGGATAAAGAGCATTTCAAGGGAGGTAGCGGAAGGGAGAAGGAAGAGGAAAGGAGAAGTCAAAATGCTTGATAGGTGGCATTATTTGATTGGATTGGGATAATAATATGGTTTGTTGACCTGACATACCCGTGTCACGGATGTTTTTCGCCACAATAATGGACGATCCAAATTGGGACACACAAGTTATTGTCCTTGCTTTACCTACTCAAAAGTCTGGTAGAGGTTTTAATGGAAGCTTGGCCTGCCTGTTGAAAAATAATGCTCAAGATTTGGGATATAAACATATCTACAAGAATCGTGAATGAAATTATGAAGTTTAGAGAATTCACAATGGGGGTGTATCTTCAGGGTTGTAAAGTCACTTTTATACCCCTTTTACACTTTCGGGAGTTGTAAATATGGTTTTTGATCCAATAGAGAAGATGTAAATCTAGATGTGTAGTTAATTTTGCTCACTTTTGTCCACATTTTCTCACTTTTTCTCTTGTAAGCCCCACCTGCAAGAGATGTAAAAAAGGATGCGCATGTGTATCTAAATTTGCATATCACGATTGTGATGCAAATTTACAATCGTTTACACCTCCCTATTGCTGGTGATTCCGATCACAAATGGTGTATATTTAACATACACCTCATTATATAACCCTCCACTGGAGATGCTCTTAGAATTATGAAGGAGCTCATCCATAATGTCAACAAACTAAAGAGTTGTTTGATAACCATTTCATTTTCATTTTTAAGTTTTCATTTTATTTTTTAAAATAGAAATTAAAAACATGTTTGGTAACAGTTTTTGTTTTTAATTTTCAAAGTAAAATGCAGTTTTCAAAATCAACCTTATTTTTTAAAACAACTTGAAATTGTTTTTAGTTTTCAAAACCTAACTTTACATCCATTTATCATGACAAAGGATTAGGGTATATTTACATACTTAGTATAAATACATTTTTTTTTAAAAAGTCACATTCATTGAGTTATTATCGTCTTTGGAGTAATATATGTGATGAGTTTAGAGCTATAAATGGGTCGGAGATGAATCAGATCACCATATATCTGATCCGATCGGATAAAAAAATATCAATCCAATCTGATCCGATAACTTCACGGATCATTCACAACTAAATCCATATTCGATTTGTTGGATTATCATATATCCGATCCAATAACCCTATCTGAATTATTTTACCTAACAAGTTGAACAATATTCTTATTATTTACAAAAAGTTCACAATACTCTATTCTTATTGTTAACAAAAAGTTCGCAATATTATTACATGTGCATATTATTACACAGATCAATATAAAAACATAGAAATATCACGTTTGTTTTGGGTCATCATGATCTATTTAAATGTATCACTTAATGGATCATGATGACTCAACAAGTATGTATTTCCACATAAATGTACCCTAAGATGAATTAGTACTAGTGTATCATTTGAAACTAACAAATATGTATTTTCACGTGAATGTACCGTAAGATGAATTAATGTGCCATTCATAATGCTATGCGTTAGTAGTAAATTTTTCGCATGGCTTAGCTCCCTTACTTAGAACAAGGGCTCTAATGGCGATGGAGGATGGGGTAGCTTCCCCCACAGTATCGGGTGGTCCAAAAGCATTCCACACATAAATTATTGTCCTTGTTTGACCTACTCAAAACGTTTTTCATGTTGTATACTTTGTCTGCATTACTTGATTACCTGGGTGCAAGAGGACATCATTGCGGATCCCAAACTTCGATATGTTGTCCCTTGCTCTGTAACCTCTGGCGCAGGTTTGATTGTAAGCTTCAATCATTGTGGCCTCCCAAGCCTGGACACCTCATTTCTCTATAAGATTAAACAAGGACTCATATTTCAAGTCGGTAATCAAAACCAAAAGGTAAAGGTAACCTACAGTTTTGTTCCATGAACTATATCAGAATTGTCAATTTACTCATAGACTCAAATTTTTATTTTTAAAAGAGCGATGATCATAGACTTTTTTCTTAAAACTATATGAAATAGGCTGATTTGAGACTTGTTGTCAATTTTTTGGATATCTATTTAAATTTTTATCACGTGACTTGCACATTGTCTATCCAAATTTCTGTCAGTATTAACGACAAATTCGTTATTTTAAAGAAGGAAAAAAAAAATACAACTTATTTCATATAGTGTAAGTTCTTAACTTACAAGAAAAAAAAAAAGTATAAGAATAAATTAACAATTATGGTATAATTCAGTGGCAAAAAGTAACCAAAAAGTAGAGCACCGGCTCTTCCATTATCACTTTTAAATCAAACATGGCAACATCTACAAAGCAACCTTTTCCTGCTTCCCATTATTATCTTCCTTTCTCTGTACATTTTGCTGTCACTTGCAAGATCACGTGGGAAAGCACTCAAACTACCACCTCCCCCCCGAAAGCTACCTCTTATTGGAAACCTTCACCAGCTAGGCGCCTTCCCTCACCCTCCCTTCGTGCTCTCTTGAAGAAGTATGGCCCTCTACGATCATGGAGACTGAGCATGTGACGGAGTTTCCTCTGATTCACTTGGATTGTCGCCCTCGAAAGAGAGCGCATTTGGGCTGCGATGTTCCTCAGGCCTAAAGGTATCAACTTTCTTCCGAAAATTTTATGTCTGATTGAATTTTGTGCGGTTTTTGTTTGGCAGTGTTCAGGGATGGCTGGATTTTTGTGGTTGATGCTATTACTGACCCTTTTTCTTGAAGTGTTATGAGAGGGAATTTAAACAGTTGATCATGTGTTTCAAACTGGTAAAAAAAGTAAGCAGCTGGAATAATTACTGTCAAAGTTACATGATGAGGGATATACGCCTTAGTTTAAAAAAGAAATAATAATTACACAATGAATACCTGGCTTCAACTTGCAAGAAAGCAAGGTATATGTACTTGTTCGTACACAGGGCTTTAAATTTGATACCATCCATCTCCATGTCATTATAATTATATATAAGGCTTAGACTGTGGACTGTAATAATAAAGCACTTCTAGGAGGCATGATGCATATATCCACACTTCGTCAACACAGGCTTCTCAAATTCAAATTCTCATATTCAAGTTGTTATTTTAATTTCAGTAGTCACTAGTTCTGTGTTTTGATTTGTTTAGATGTTAAGGGCTCATTAAAGAAAATGGCTACATCTTCATGAAGGCATACTAAGAGTGCTTAAATGAAAGCTGCCAGGTTCCAATATGAATATTATAACTTTCAGTTGTCCATTTTTGCAGGGTGAGGGTTCAACATTCAGAACTTTGTGGGATTTTGAAAAGCTCCTTAGTTGCATCATAAACAAGCTTGAGCGGTTGAGTTATGGCGAATGGGAAAGAAGAAACACGTTTAGTTGTGGAAGAGAAACCTGCCACTGCCAGGTTAGTTTATTTAACTTTAAACCATCACACTGTAAACATATTCCAGGATTTTATCCATAACGTTCACAATGTGCATTGTGTACTTGATTTGCCTAGTGCAACTCTTTTCTTCATGAGAACAACTTTCATGGGACGATTCCGTGACATTTATCTCTCTCAACACATGACATAGTTATTACATGAGAGAAATGCCTCAACAACAATGTTTTCATGTTTCTTGTACCTAACAATTCGTTATTTGCTTTGTCTTTTTCAGTGTTGAACAACATTCGATCCAAAAAAGAATTATCCAGCATTGGAGAAAAGTGCTTCCATTTTCAAAATCTACCATCGAAGACGAAGGACATAGTAGTACCAGTACTGATCAACCAAAGCCATTCCTTCAAGAATGGTGGAACACCATATTTGTAGTATCATGTG